TATACTATGACCGTTTTTGACTTTATCCGACATGCTATATACTATGACCGTTTTTGGACTTTTTCCGACATGCTATATACTATGACCGTTTTTGGACTTTTTCCGACATGCTATATACTATGACCGTTTTTGACTTCATCCGACATGCTATATACTATGACCGTTTTTGACTTTTTACGACATGCTATACTATGTCCTTTGACATACTATAGTATGACTTTTTAGAACTTTTTTCTACCTAATATACTATGACTTTTTTCAACATGCTAAACTATGACTTTCTTCGACGTACTATTCTATGACTTTTGTATCACATTCTATTTTACATTTCTATATCAATACAGACAAGTACCATTACTTAACATTGTAGTGTGGTGTAGATAGTTATTGTATTAATCACACCACTGTCACTTTAACCAGATCACTATCTCTTCACCTTGTATTTTTTTCTCCATATGCTCAATATTTTTATTTTATTTTTTATATATATAGTTTTATATACACCTTATATATACACACCTTTTATTATCCATTTATATATATCTTGCTTTCTCTATTTTTCTGTAACTTTTGCTATCCTTGTGTTAAAATAAATGTATGTGGAATCAGTTTGAGCTTCTTTCAGTTTTAGGTTTGCAGTTTTAAACTTGAACAGCAGCATCTTCTGTGTACTGGGATCACAGAAGGCAGAATAAGCAGCAGACAAGGAATTTCTATAATATTACTCACAGTATTTTTCAATTTCAATATTAAATCATATATGCGAGAGTTTAGAGTGAAAAAAATCTGATTTTAATTTGAAATAAAAAAAATCTGCAGCTATGTAAAAGAATTTCAGCAAGTTGGCTGTGAAACACAGCAATGTAGTCACAGAAAGCCTTTGAAAAGCCTAAAAATACATTTACACACATACGTAGATAGACGTAGATAGATTTGTATAAGTTTTACTGCACATGGAGGGGGGGCAAACTTGTTGTGGGTCTGGGTGACTTGCAAAAACAGTGGTGCACACCGTGCAGGGTAGAACAATTCTATTTATTAATTTCTATTCAAATAAATGACACAAATGTGTTTGTACCTGGACAAGACAACCGCAATCCAAACATACAGTGCAGCAATATGAATTGTTCTAAACTGCAGTGGTAGACATTTTTACACAAGTTTTTTTTCAATAAGACAACAATAAGAAGAATTGGAGAAGAAAGTGAATAGGAGGGACATCTTGGGCAACATATTTGTAATGAATCAGTGCATACATTTTCCTTTTTTTATGCCTCCACTATACAAGACATAAATTGTGCAGCCTATTTAGAAATGTAAAACTGTAAAACACAAGACCTACAAGAGCTTAGATGTGTTTAAGATCCAACTTATTCACAAACTGTCTGAATTACACATACTGTACTTCAAATCCTTAAACAATCAAAGCACACTACCAAAATTCTTAAAATAAAGACAGTATCCTTGCTACCTAAGAACAAAGTATAGGTGTAAAGAATGTAATCATTGTGTTGTGGCTTTACAGGGTGGACACCACTGTTGGAAGTGTTGTCAGGGGTTCATATCGCCTTGTGTCAGTTTCGATTGTCTCGCTGTAGATGTTATTGAGTGGAATGGCCAGCTGCCCAGTTTGTCCCGACCCCTCCTCAGAATTAATGCCATAGGGCATCTTGGACATGATAGCCATGTTCAATTTGAAGAGCACGTTATGGAGAGCCACACGGTATTCTTTCCTCACCAGACAGTAGATGACAGGGTTGAAGCAGCTGCTGGTGAAAGCTAAGCAGTTGGCCAGAGGAAAAAAGTATGTTTGTGCCAAATAGAATGAAGAGCTGATATCAACGATGTCAAGTTGGATCAGGACACTCCAAAGTGTGAGGATATTGTAGGGGAACCAGCAGGCGCAGAATGAAAGCACCACCACTGCCACAGACTTTGAAATATCAGTATTTCTCAGAGAGTTGCTGCCCCTTAAATTATGCCGACAGAGAAAGCGCAGCAGGAGCAGGTAGGAGAGGACGATAATGGCGTATGGCAGCAGAAATCCCAGGACCACTCGCAAAAGCTGGTTTAATCCAAGCCAGGCTGTACCATCTGGGAAACGAAGCAGGCATGCTGTGTCGTTGCCACTGCCCACATGTCTCAGGTCTGCAAACACAGCTCGGGGTGCTGCTGCTATGAGTGCTGAAGCCCAGATAAAAGCTGTGGCCACTGGAGAAGTGCAAGATCTACTACACAGGGAGGTTCTGGGTTTGAGAGCAGTAGCCACATAGCAGTACCGGGTCAAACTCATAGCTGTCAGGAAAAAGCAGCTAGCAAAGACATTGAGCCCAGTGAGTAAGGACACAGCCTTGCATGTGGCCAAGCCAAAAGGCCAGCTGTAGTCCATTGCAATGTCTACGGCCCAAAACGGCAAGACCATGGAGAACAGCAAGTGAGCCAAAGCTAAGTTGAACACAAAGAAGTTGATGGTGCCTGTGGTGATAGTGTGAGTCGAATACAGTAGGAACATTACTAGCAGGTTCCCCAACATTCCTGCAGTAGCCACAACAAAGTACACCACAGAGATGACTATTCTTAGCCAGAGAGATCCATCATCATCAAAAATCTCCAGACCATTGTCAAAGCTTGTGTTGTGAAAAATCAGATGGGAGTTATTACAGAATGGGCCACCACTGCAACCATTCAGGATTCTGTTGAAGAGCTCAAGTCTCTTGAAGTCAGTGTTTGACATTTTGCAAACCTGAAGGCGATCCTGTTGAGGGTTAAGGTTGTCCAGCTATTATTTTCAATGTTTGTCCTCCTTAGACCAGAACTTAATTTCTTTTGTTTGGTACTGGCACGTCTATTAGCTGACAGACATCTATCCCTGCAAGGAAGGAGGAAACGATTATTACATAATAGGCGCTGCAGTTTATGAGTAAATAAGTACATTAGCCTTGTCAGATAAACAAATTACACTTAAGTGTTACCCACAGAGTTAGATAAGCCAATTTGGATATCAAAGATTTAAACTTTTCTGAAAGGAAACAAATACAAATATGAAGTGATTAAATTAATTTCACCCTGAAGTAAAAAAATATGTTATGAGCCCTCCAGAGTTTTGATCATGCAATAGTATCTATCTACATATTAAAATTCACACCGATATAATTTATAGTAATCTATAAAAGTACATTGCCTACCATATTAAAGTATGATTGTAGATAGATAGATAGATAGATATGATTATAATCTACCAGATAGCTGGCTCGTGTTGTTACTAATTTAGCAGATAAACTTTCGAAAATTTGAGTATACAACATGAATTAAGAAGAATTATTCTAACACCTTACATGACAGATTTCGACTTTAAGGATATTAACGATCTGATTATTTCTGGGTCAGAGGATTTGTATTAAGATACTGGTGTCTTTTCACTCTTTCGGACTACAATAATTAAAGTTTCCATTTATTACTTAACTTGTGATTGATAAACAATGTAATAAACAACCAAATTTAAAGTCTTTAAAGTTACAGCGAGATAGCAGACTGATGTGCTTTGCCCCAAAAGTTCCCTTTTGTAATAACTAACTGTTAAATAAATGTCAGATATAAAACACTAAAGCAAATATAAAGAATATGTGCCTGTTGAAACTAAAATCCACTTCAACAGTTTGTCACATTTATATATATTCTAAGCTATATGGAAAAAAATGATTCTTACCTGGATATCATAAAATGAGGGAAATCGTCAGGGTGCAACAGTTTGATTTCTTGAAGTCACCAGCTCTGCTGCACAACATCGGATTACCTCGAGGGCAGACAACAACAACATCGTGCATGTCACCCACCCTGAATTCATGCTCCACCCCATCATATTTACCATCTGCATATTCAGACTGGAAGTCACCTGCACTGGCACAACTGAAACACTAGAAAACATCAGAGATTGAGGTGGAAAGATAAAAGAAAAAAAAACCGACCACAACAAAGAGAAAAATACTCAAAAGAGAATTAACTTCTGTGTCGGTCTTGACTCCAGACAAAGATATTTTCTTTTGATTCCATGAGTGAGATTCTTTTTTTCACTCCACATTTCATCATATTGTCATCAAATGTAAAAGATCAACCAAAAAAAATGTAATTCATTATTGTAGTTATTCAACTGAGTTGCAACTATTTATCCTATAACTTGTATTAAGTGTCCTAACTCTTGAATGCATCGTGCAATGGAAAATTACACTCGAACCATTACTGCAATATTGGCATTTTACCTTTATTTCACACTACGGCAACAGCATAAATCCAAATGCCCACATTAGATGTCATGGGTCTGACTTGTCTGTACAAAGCTCTGAAATCAGTATGTGCAGCATTGTATTGTACTTTGAGCTTACTTCTTCCTAATTGTAACTCATACCTGCTGTTTTATGGAGCAGAACATATATTTGTTGGGTTTGGTTTTGTTGTCTGATTTTAGTTATTTGTAAAGCACTTTGTAACATTGCATTTGAAAAGTGCTACATGTCAAAATGAATAAGTAATAAATAGGCCAATTGGGTGCTTGTCTAGTTCAACTTTGTTACATTTTTAATTCTGCTTTATTTTTCAACTGAAAATCAGTTTTTCTTGTCCTTATTCAACCAGCCCAGTTTGTAAAGTGTCTCAAAAACATATTGTTTAGTCTTAACTAAAACATCAAATTTAGTTCAAGATCTGTCAGGAAAGGTTAATGAATGGCATTACTACAATTTCAACATTTATACGTATTGCTGACCATTCTTTGCCTTTGCATTAATTGAATAGAGCACATGCATTATCCAGAGTAAACACTTCACATTAAAGGGTTGATTAGGCTTTCTAGGTCTTTGCACAGAGGCTGCAGGTAACAATGTGGTCAACATATTGATGGTAATGTTCAAGGCACCTGGACCTTACATATATGTAAAACAAAATGAAGGAATTATGAAAGAAAATAAAAAGTGCATCGAAGGCAATTCGTTTTTTTTTTTCCATTTATATCTGGGGCGTTGCTTCAAGATTAGATTGAGCAGCAGAGACGACTAATTGTAATTGGTTGATAGTGGAAAGAACATCAGCAGTAAATAGCTAAATGAAATTAGCTTGGAATAGGCGGAAGAGTGGGGAAGTTGATTAATGCTGATCTGTCAAAACTGAGCCATTTTCATAATCTAGCTGAACAAACCATCCAGCTCCCCAAGAGTTCGTGTTTTCTTTGGCAACAATATGCCACAGAAACAACCCGTTCATTCCAACCTGAATGTTTTCCTCTGTTGCACAGCTTTATTTAGGTCCTTGGTGCATCTACGAACAGGCCGATTAATTATTGCCTCATGCCACACAGATTTATTGTAAAATTATTTTTATTTTTTTTTACATTGTGCTTTTTAAGACCAACAGTTTGGCTTTTTCCTCTCATTCACCCTGTTAATAACTACACCGTATTGCAACTACATAGGCTACTTGTTCACAAATATGAATTTTATATTTTAGCCTGCAACTTTAAGCACTCGCACAGAACACACATGCCACGAGACAGCTAGCTCCTAAGCAGACAGAGTGGAAAGAGGGAGAAACGGATAGCCTGGTTAGCTATTAACAAAATCTTCATGTCATTTCTAGTTTGCGTAATTCTTACGAAACTGAAGTGTTAAAATGATAACTTGTGGTTATAAGGGGGGTTATACTGCGTGTGGGACTGTTTCTTGGCCAGGGGAAATAACTTCCTGGAGTCCTGTTGTCATTGTGAGGTTGACAGGTAATAAGTTGAGACTGACATCTTTTAAAATACACCCATTTGCTTTCTTGCTTGCTCTAGTTAGGCAAGAAGATCGACACCCTTAACTCTACGTGTCTTTATGTACACTTGGTGCCAGGACACCATGAGCTTATTATAGCACAACTCTGAAAGCAGGGAAACATCAGAACCTTTAAATAAAGTTATGACTGAAAGAATATAATGCACTCCCACGAAAATACAGATATTTTTTTTATTTAGTATGAAACCGAGTCAGGTCTTTTTTTTTTTTTTTTTTTTAAATAGGTGCTTTAAATTATGAAATTAATCTGTAAATGAAATGCTGCAAAAAGACATCCAAAGAAGTTTTTGAAGATTTATATAAAATATAAGAACTGATAGAGGTTACTTCTCTATGGTTAAGGTCAGTCCATGTTAATCACTAAATTTAAAATCTTTATGAATGTTTTTTTTACTCTCGCTGTAAAAAGGGCAAAAGCGGTGTCACACCACATTAGTGATGCAAAGGCTCATCACATACAAGTTATATCTGTAAAGGCCCATTCACCTCTAAAACAAGAACTGTAAATGACAACCTTATTTCTCTGACAACAACCAATCAAAAAAGTACAAAACATAATCCAAATGTAAAATAAGACAAATATTATATTAAATATGCTAATTGGAACCCACAATTGGATCAGTGGTGTCATAAATTTTGGATTTTGCCAAACAAAAATGAGCTAGTCAGATATGCAGTATCTCCTGTGGTTCCACTTTTATAAATGGGTTACAAACTTGGATTCATGCTGCATAACTGAGCATGCCAGCTGAGTTGTGCCACGGGAATTAGGGAGATCTCTGAGAAGAGTGAATGTACTGTAGCGATGTGGCTTTGTCGCCACCCATTGTAAAAACGAGACTACAACACTTCACCGTGTCAGGACGAGGAGGAGGTCTGCAGGCTTTCAGAAGTGTGCCCTCTGGTGACAAATGTCCGACCTAACAACAAGCTGCCTGAGCCCAAAATATATCATACATAAAAAGAACAAACTCAAAGCCTTTGTTTGTAGAATAAAACTATACATGTAAATTACGTCTAAAATCAAAAGCAGAATCTATGACCAGCCTGATGTGTAACAGATTTGTAATAGAGACTTTGTTTGTTACTGCTGTACATATTGTTGATCATCACTTTTGGTGGTGGTTTTGTTACTGCTGCCCCTTTATTATTGTCATAAACGGTGTTGTTGGGTCTTGTAAAATGAAAACAGATAATCCTAATTACACAAATAAAAAAATCATGTTAGCCTATTAAACATCACAATAATCCGTGATGTTTATTGGGAAGCATCACTAATGTTGCAGCTGGTAAAGGCGGATTGCCTACTGCCCTGCAGCTTAATTCATAATAAATCAAGATGCATTTGTTGATTGATATTTTTTGAATCAATTATCTGAATCTGCAAGGTAATAACTAAGGTAGTCAAATAAAGTAAAATGTACAATATTGGCTTCCAAAATGTCGTAAAGTAGAAGTTTTAAGTTCAAGTAAATGTAGACCTACTTAATTACATTCCACCACTGCTTATTTTACCATTTTTATAACCGCCATAAGTAGTCATTGAAGCAATTGGTGTAATGTGGTCTAAAACCTTGAACCAATTATTTTTAGTAACTTTAATAACTTAGTTTCCTTTATTTGTGGTAAACCACACATTCACCTTTATATTTAGGCTACGACATGTTCTCGAGTAAACTAACCTTAGATAAGTGTCCCGCGCGCGCGCCCACTGGTCACCTCTCAACTCAACAGTTGCAGTGAATGAGGCTGAGCCGCGCGCACGCAGAGATCACTCGCGCCGTGGCTCGTTATTAACGTTAATAACGTTATCTCTCGCGTCACTCATGTCCCCGACAACCACTGCTGCCGCTGCGCAGGAGGAGCACCGTACTGCGGTCCAGGTGCACCGCTGTGATTGAAAGACGGTGAAGTTTAAACGCTATACCGAGAAGAAGAAAAGCGAGATGAACCCACAGCTGACGGATGGCCATCCT